GTTCCCTCCCCAGACGCCTTAATGCCCACTCACATCCTGGGCCATCTGACCTCAGGAAATCACATGATAAGGTGGGGCCAGGTTTCACTGGCTGATTGGGACCCACACCCAGTTCCACACCTTGGCTCAGGCGATTAGAGGATCATCAGGGGGTCCTTTTGTCCCTCTGTGGGGGGAAACTCCCACTAGGTTTAAATCTGGGACTCTCCACCATTTGACCTTAGAACTGAAGAAGCTTCTCGGATGAAGGTGAAACGTCTTCAAGCAACTTAAAGAAGTCCAGACGCTTTTCTTTGCAAGCTCCTTTGACTACAATGACCTGCATGACTGAGAACCTTCACAGACCATCAGAGTGATCCATCTCAAGACGTCGTGTTAATGGTAATAACGATAAACAGTGTGTCCTTTTTATTCTCCACCTAATAATATTAAAAAACAAAGAAAACAAAAACTCTAATTCATGTTTCTGTACACACACACACACACACACACACACACTGCCCTTTGTGCTACCCCATCTTTGACTTTGAGGCACAAAGGTGTGTCAGCTAACTGTCGGTGCAGCTAAAGGGAGAAAGCATCGCAGTTGGAGCAGCTTATTCAGGTGAAACTTTTAAGAAGCCCAAGCAGTGCTTTCAAGTAGCAAAGAGCTTGTTCTGTTTCAGTGCATGAGTCATTTGGCTTTAATGCTTTACCTGTGGCTCAGAGGCTGGGCTCTGGCTCGGACTCAGGATGCAGTGCAACCTATTGACTGCCCAGGGACAGAGAGAGAGAGAGAGAGATAAAAGCAGAGCTATAGTGGACTGAGAGCGCTGGTGAGTGACAGACACACAGAAGGAGAAGGGGAGAGATGCCAAGGCAGAAGAAGAACAGAAGGCTTTCTTCTTCTCTTATTTTTGTTTTTGGGCTCAGTTCAAGATCCTCTGAAGAGGCGGCTGCTCAGAACCTCAATAGCGTCCAGCCTGTGTTCTTATGCATGTGTGTTTTTGGGTAAGTGTTCCAAAATGAGAGCGCTGATGGAGTCAGCTGGACTCTGATTGGAGTCAAAACCATTATCCCAGCAAAGCAATTATCCCATTAGATAGCACGCCTCACGCAAACACATTCACGACCAACAAAAAGGACAACTCATATCAGTGGCTCATCGTCTGCAGCGAGTGGGATGCCCCGCACTGACTGGTGACTTATTGTCGGTGCCGGGCCACCATCTGTGCGTCAGTTATCCTCAGCGACTATCCTCAGCACAGCCCAGCCACAGCTTTCATCCGTGTCAGCTGCTGAAATGATGATGCATAACAAATGAAGTCTTCAGAGGAACGCATTCCTTTGCAGTAAAGTCCCCGAGGCTGCACCGCATTAAATGTATGCAACCACTTCTCCTCTCTTCTGTCGTTCCAGTAACTGCTCACTATTGGACTGTAGCAATATTTTTCCTTTTTGAAAATCAACCTCCAACCTTGAAATCTGGGCACTGCAAACTTGATTTGTTGCCGTAGCATCAGTGTTTTCCAAAACCTGTCTGCAACCTTTGCAGGCGAATAATCATTTCAAGCTCCCTCGCTTCCTGTACGGCGTCTGACTGCCAGGCCTTTGCACAATTAAATTAAAAGCTCCTTGTTACAGCCATTATGGAGTTTCCTAATATGCAGTACAGTAGAAGGAAATGATTAGCATTACAATGTGCTGATGGTGATATTCCATACTGCTGCAGCTACATGTCGAGACAGAGAGATGATAGGCTGCAGGACTCCTTCCACGCTGTCATGTTCCCTCTGATTTGTTTATAGCCGGCGACTGTTTTCAGTGTTTGCTCTTGGCGGTTCGCGTCAGATACAATCACTCAGAAGGCTTCTGTGCAATCTTTACTGCACTTATCATTTTGCATGTAAAATAATACCCACTGGTCCATTTTTCATTCTTTACTGGCTTCTTCTGGAAAACATTTGCTTAATTCATGCAGGCGCTTTGAGACGGTGCATCAAACAGAAGTGAAATGGCCAAACTAGCTAAGATAAAAAGACCTCAGCCCAAACACAGGCCATGCCAATCATCCTCAGGAAACAGCATTATCATTGTGTAAAAAACATAAAAAACATTTTGTGCAATAACATGGTTTTTGTGGGGCTAACAGCTGTATCTGTCTAATTCCTGCTCCATCCTAATTCCCTCTAAGGGTGCTGAAAGGGACAAGCCACACAGAGCAGTTATCTGACAAGACAATCGACTATGCTCCGTGTTATTGTGAGCCAGGTGACATACTACAGACACGATTTCTCAAGTTTGGTGCTTGACGAAAACAAATAGGTACTGAATAAAGTAACAGCCCAGCAGCTTAGCAGAGCACGGACTGGTTTATACATGGGTGTCATTATTAACATGCATGAACCTTTCAAAATATGGGAAATGATGGTGTCGTGGCAGGTGGTGGATCCACTCCTGATACTAAAGCAAAAGATCAGTGCAAACTGCTTCACATGCACACTGGCAGCTTGTGTTTCATTACTCAGGCTTTGTGCAAAAGAGTTTGTGAAGGTGATGAGTGGAAGTGCGTGTTTAAACACATGTGCCAATCATGGAGGCACATTAAAGCGCATTAAGTAAACGAGAGGTAAGAGCAGATTGTGTCCTCCAAAAGGATAAATGCTTTCGGCATAAAAATCAAAGCCTTAGTTGTGTTCTTTGAGGTTTGAAATCATAGCTGCACAGGCCACAGTTTATAAGTAACTATAACTATCTCTACTTTCAAGATTAGGCTTCAAACTTTCCTTTTTGCTAAAGCATATAGTTAGGGCTGGACCAGGTGACCCTGAATCCTCCCTTAGTTATGCTGCAATAGACGTAGGCTGCCGGGGATTCCCATGATGCATTGGGTGTTTCTTCTTCATTCACTGTGTGTTAACAGACCTCTCTGCATTGAATCATATCTGTTATTAACCTCTGTCTCTCTTCCACAGCATGTCTTTATCCTGTCTTCCTTCTCTCACCCCAACCAATCACAGCAGATGGCCCCGCCCCTCCCTGAGCCTGGTTCTGCCGGAGGTTTCTTCCTGTTAAAAGGGAGTTTTTCCTTCCCACTGTCGCCAAAGTGCTGCTCATAGGGGGTCATATGATTGTTGGGATTTTCTCTGTATCTATGAAGCGCCTTGAGGCGACTTTTGTTGTGATTTGGCGCTATATAAATAAAATTGAATTGAATTGAATTGAATAAGCTCCATGCTTAAAATTTGTACCATGGACTGTAAAACCTGATGATAGTTTCTTAAGTGTTTAAACTAATTAAAACAAAGTAATCTTCTCTGTAGTCACTGCGTTCGTTTAAAGAGTTTAAGAATGAGTTAATGTTCAATTTCTATTTACAGAATATGGAGTTAAATTCAAATGACAGTGTTTTTCTTTGGATACTGTTATAATTTTATTCTGGTCTAATAAATATTGCAAAAAAGACACATTCCTTCATTATGGTTAGTAAGGAAACTTTGAAGTCTTCAAGCTTTGCATATGTGTGCTCGAGTACTCTACTGATCCATGAAGAAACTCAATTATTTATGGGTCTGGAACATGAACTGAAATCCACTGACACTTAAACTGGTTCCATGCATTGAGTCACTTGGTTGCTTTTTTTCCTGTTTTAACTGCAAAGGCTGAAAATCAAGCAGGTGAGCTGAGGGTGAATGCATACAGCTGCAGTACAGTGACACTTCAGTGTGACATGGAGTCCTGATACATGCACACACAGCTTGCAGCATTATACACAGTAATAATATACAACAGAGTGCATGTGTGAGGAAAATCCTGCACATGTAGTGAGCACTGCCCGGGGGAGGGCATGGCAGACGAGCCAGAAGAAGCATTTAGTGTTTATAGTTCACACGTTTAGATTATGTCATTTAATCACTTAGCATAGTGGCATTATGTGCACAGTTGTACAGTGGGTGATGATTCCCCGGGGATCGGTCCACCTGCATCTGCAAAAACACCACACAGCCTGCTGGATGTCACTTTGGATTACAACCATCTGTTTAAATACTGTGTAGTGATAGATAAAGAGCCTCTTTACTGAGCCCACGCTGTCTGTGGCTGAGTAACATCGTGTCTCTAAGTAGATTCAGTGTGAGTCTGTCTGCAGTGCAGCAGTGAACATCCAAAGCATCTCCTCTAACTGGCTGCTGTGGCTCTGCGCTCCACCAAGCAGCTGATTTACACCAGTAGGTGAGAACCTGGGAACCCAGGTTGTAATTCGTCACCAAGTCACCACCCACAGCGGAACGCCACCCAATACCTGATGAGGAGACGGCGCTGCGCCGCGGACGAGTGTTTCCCAAAAGAGAGCGCGTGCCCTTACGTGTGAGGGCACAACCACAGCGAGCGGAGCGGCGACAAACGATAGCGTTGAACGGGAAACACACACGCAACAGTACAAACACGCATGCACACGCATGCATTCAGACTAAAAGCACTTCATTCACAAAAGCCGCCCAACACAGAGCCCTGAAACTTCACATTAGACACATACAACTGCCCCCACACCCACACGCTCGCACAGCAGTGCCCTCTCCTCACAGCGCTGTCACACAATCTCATTGTTATCATCCCTGCTGCACCGCACTGTGTGTACACTACCTCTGCTTCCCCTCCCCAAAAACCACAGTGAGGGACTCAAACACACATTTATGGAGCTACCGTCAGTCCACATCATTTATGGCTGCATGTGGAACGTGCAAACCATTTTACAGCACCAGGAGGTAAACAGAGCTGTCTTTGAACTAACAGTTTTAAGTTGCTGCAGGATTTTTTTTTGCACAGAAGCTCAGCTGGGTGCACATATGTCACACACAGCCTGTGTTGGACTTGTGTTTGCACATAACTTCCACCAAAATATCTCCTCATGACAACATATCAGCCTCCTTCAAGGAGAAATGGGGAAACGGAGCTTCTCTGTAAGCTGCCACAACAAACACATGACGAACATGAATGAACATGAAGCCAGAGAAACAACTTACCTGGCACACAGTCTAAAAGCAGGAGGCATCTAGGACCACAAGCTTCTCTGTCATCTGGAGACAGCAGAAGATTAGACAGTCATAGTGCATGAGATGCGGGATTAAAGACTTCCTGAGCTCTCTCATCTATCCTATGACTTTTGCCTCACATTGATCCAAACCTTCTGAGAAAAGGTAAGGGGCCGGCAAAAGGAACGGCTAAAAAGGCAAAGAAGGGTGGCAAAACGACCGCGAGATGCTCAGATCTCCTCCACTAAGACGAGTTGCGAGCGCAACGTGAGGACCATCCACTGCAGCAGAGCAGAGTAGCGCGCAGCAAAGGAGGAGAGGGAGGGAGAGAGGAGCGAGGCAGGCAAAACAGGCATTTACTGCTGCTGGTTCCAAAAGCACGGCTGGAGCGAAAACCTGGGACTGGAGTCTGGATCCTGCTCTTTTGCTTTCATACAGATGGAGAGTTATGGAAAGAAGGGAGCACAGACAGAGCAGAGCATCGTTGTAGGACATGTCTGCTGCACGACCTCCATCCATCTTCTCTTTTGCACCACATTTAATATTTTCCCCTTCTTGGCAACAAATATTGCATGTTTGCTATCATTCTCAAGCTTCTACAGAGTTGCTGTGGACAAACTATTGAATCATCTCTAACAACAGCTGACATATTCTTTTGTTTCCTTACTTTATTTCTCTTTATTGTGCCGTCTCGGTCATTTTCCAGCTATATAAATCTGTACAGCGGAGATCCAAGGTGATGACGGACACTGCATTCCCACAGGAAGTCAAATGATGCATTAGCCGCACATGGATATTCACATTAAACTCTTTCTGACAATGTGGCACATTTTGCTATAATCTCTCTTATGGAGCAATTGGGCCACCTGGCTAAAGTGTCTCTTGCTTGCTGTACTGTAACAAGGGAACAGGCTTTTAGTTAGAGTCCTTCGGCCCCAGCAGGGCTCAAGGTCGCTTGGCAGAGCTGCCTGCCGGCAGCCGAAATCCTTCGATGATTAACAGCGGCAGACAGGATGGAAAAGCTGTCAATCCAAATCTATAGTCTTGGCCAAGAGAGCCGGCCAGCTAACCCACGTGCATTCAAACAGCGCTCGGCCAGGTAGAGCGGGGAGATTTATGAACCCACAGAAGAAAGTCAATCCCCTCTCACCGAAAAGGTGGGTACATACGAAATACTGATATTGTTCTGCAGCTCATCAGGGAACAAGACAAGGTCAGAATGCTGTTTGTCAGGGTTTATAATGAGCTCAGGTCATATGTTACCTGGTGGATTCATGTTTTCACAGCTTCATTTGATCTTTATTGTAAATCGGTTGTCAAAACACACAGCTGTGGGACGGCTGTTACACCCCGGAGACATGACCAGCGTGACCAGAGAACTTGATTGCTTAAACCCTGCTTTATTAAAGTCTTTTGTTGGTGAGGCATTCAATGTAATATAGGAATTCTGAGTTGTGCCTCACTTCTAGTTCTCTTGAATGCTTTCATAGCTAAGGATAAGGTTTGTTTCTGACTTCCTGAATTAGCGTTAAAGGTTAGTCTGGCGTTTTCCTAGTTTCTTTGCCTTCTTAATTGAGTGAATTCTTTAGTTTCCATCGTCGCCAGGGTTTCCTTAGTTCCTTCTGATCTGTTGCATTGTGTAAATAAAACGCTGCTGTTGCATTTTCACTCCTCGCCTCCGGGTGGCATCTGCACTTGGGTCCACACCTTGTCTACAAGCCTGCCGGCCACCAGGAG